GGCAATGAAACAATACACAATAGGATGAATGTAAAACTAATGTTCTCCCATGTAAACTATCACATAATTCACAATAAAACATTAAAAAAAGAAGAATCAACCAAATAATTTGGTTTAAAAGTCTGCTATCTTTTTTTGGAAAACATTAGGATATTCTAATATTTCTGGCATCTAACTTCATATCTACAGCCTTGGAAACCCTATACAGGGTCGTTATGAGTGGAAACAGACTTAACAGCACTTACCAACAACCACCACCACCGACATATTTTTCTATTGTATACAGGATGCAAAAATCTTAAATGGGTTTAATTTTCCTTTGACATTCATCAACCTACCCTTTCCTGTTTTCTCTTGTAAATTGGTAGCGTTATTTTGGATTCCCATAAGATTTTGTTTCATCCTTTGAATGGTTCCTTTTATTCGAAGTTCTGTAATATGGTAGGAGTGTGAGAGAGTGAATTGGAGTCGCTCCTCAATGCATTTCATAGCCATTCGTATCAACTGATCTTTCTTAAGTTGGTCCTTTTCTGCTTCCTGTAGAACATCAGGATTGCAGGCAACATCGACAACTGTGTAAATATCTGTATGTGTAAGTCAGAGGGTGAGAAATGAAGGCAACTTCACCTTGTTGCACTAATTGGAGTATCAGGCAATCCATTAAACTATATAGCTGATGACGCCAGAAAGTACGCATTTCATCCCTGTATGTTTTTAGAGGCAATCACTATGGTACCATATATACAAAGTTCTAACTAGTCCACTTATTGACATTTCTAGATGGTTAAATATAGCCCCTATTGTTAGAAAAATTGGAAATTATTCAATTTGCATAAAGCTACACTTATTACAACATAAAATATTTACTATAGAAACGTCTTTTACCAAATAAAATCTGATCCATGCGTATTCCCATAAATTTTTAAATGTGCTTTTTCTCCCATATTTCTGTGTACCTGATGTTTCAGAAATATCTTCTGGCCTGCCAACACTAAGAGGTACCGGATGAGTAGTTGACTGGGGAGGTGGTATCCTTTTCCATTGACATAGATTAATGAAAAGTGTTCTTTCTCTTGGTTTCTAGGAGACAAATAATTTTGAATATAAAAAATAGTTTATTTTAAAGTCATAACATCAAGACAAATCATCACAACCTTGAAAGGGGGTAAACCATTTCATGTATTAAAACTTTAAAAAGCATCTTCTTATTAAATTGTCTTCAATAAATTCTACTTCTCCTATTTGATTTCTCCAAAGCTGCCATTTTGTCATTAAGAATTCAGCTGCCTACTCAGAAGGAACAAGGTAGAGAGGATGAGGGAAGAGGAGGTAATGAGCTAAGCAGCTGTTCCCCTTTATTTATTTTTTTGTGCAACCACCTTATTTCACCACTCCCTGCCCTCCTAAAAAGGAGCCCTGGTGGCTCTGTAGGATACTCACTGGACTGCTAACCACCAGGTCGGTGGTTCAAACCCACCAGTGGCTCCATGGTACAAAGGTTATGTTTTATTCTTCTATAAAGGTTTACAGAAACCTTATATAGGCTTTTAGTCAGCATCAACTTGATGGCAGTGGTTTGGGTGTTGTTAAATGTTATTGAGTTGATTCTGACTCATAGCGACCCTCTACAGGTTTTTTGAGAAGCAGCTGGTGGGCTTGAACTGCAGTCTTGTGCTTATCCTACAGCACCACTCTCCAAGGAGTCTCTTTGGGTATGTTCCTGAAAAGGAGTCCTGGTGGCACTGTAGAATAAGCACTGGACTGCTAACCACAGGTTGGCAGGTCAAGTCCACCAGAGACTCCTTGGGAGAAAGATGAGAAGGTTTCTGCTCCTGTAAAGGTGTAGTCTTGGTAACCCTATACAGGACTTCTATGAGTCAGAATCAACTCGATGGTAATTGGCAGGTACCTTCCTCGGCTAAGGAGCACTGGTGGCATCAGTGGTTAAAATGCTTGACTGCTAACCAAAAGGTAGGAAGTTGGAAGTCACCAGCTGTTATGTTCCGTGGGAGAAAGATGTGGCAATCTGCTTCCATAAAGATTACAGTTTTGGAAAACCTATGGGGCAATTCTACTCTATCTTACATGGTTGCTATGAGGAGGAATCGATCTCTGTGGTTACTGGTGCTGTGGATTAGGCATTGTATTGCTAACTGAAAGGACTGCATGTCAAACCCACCAACCACTCGGTGGGAGAAAGATCAGGCTGTCTGTTCCCTTAAAGTTTTACAATCTTGGAAACCCTACATAGGGCCGCTATGAGTCAGAATTGTTATCTTTAATTGAAAAATTCCAAGTATATGATTCTCTATTAAATAATTACATTTCTTCTTCTTTTTAGCTGAGCATGAGACCATGGCTCATTTTGAGACTACTTGTAAGGAGCTCTGGTAGCGTAGTGGTTACGAATCGGGCTGCGAACCTTAAGGTCAGCGGTTCGAAACTACCAGTTGCTCCGTGGGAGAAAGATGAGGCTTTCTACTCCCGTAAAGATTTACACCCTTGGAAACCCTGTACAGGGTCGCTATGGGTCGGACTCGACTCGACGGCACTTAACAACAACAACAACAATATATATTGTGAATTTCCCACATTTATTCCTTCAACATAATTTTCCATTTTCTATTTAGAATGACTGTTTCTTCCACATTTTCATGTGTTAAAATAACAATAGCTAAGTGTAAGTTATTATTCTTGGAGTATTTCATTTAGGACCTCCCCATCCCTGGCTCCAACTCTACACACCAGGATCCTTGTCTGTAGACAACACTGTGGTTCTGGGGCAGCACAGAACTGCTGGCCCTCTTTCAGCTGCTGTTGGATGAACTTCTCATAGCGCTCAGGGTCACTTTCAGCCAGATCATCTAAGAGGTTCCAAAACTGAGTAACTTGGGTGAGAAGACCCTTTGAAGATGTTTCCATGATTGATGATGAGGGATGGGTCTCTTAAACCTATGAGAAGACAAAATGTAAGGGGGAAAAGGTCTGTGTGGCTATTGAATAATTTCTTCTTTTTGAGGAAGAACTGGTAAGGAATTGTTTTGGTGAAGTCTTAACACTTGTAGTCTTAAAGACTGTGGATCGGCACAATTATATAGTTTCTTTAGTCTCTATGTAGTTCCCCATTCTAACTTCTTAAGTTGTCCTCTCAGATAAGGCCCCAACCCTTCCTAAAACCTCGAGTATACACAGAACAGAGTAGTCATTGCCAGCCTAATTTCTTGGTGGTCTTCTTGGCTCAACACTTGGGTATTGGCAGATCAAGGCCATCCTAGTCCTGAAATTGCCAAAGGCGTGTGCAGGTTGAGGTTCATATGAGATTTCCTCCATTCTCACTATGGTTTAATAATTAAAAGCATGGACTTTGGAGCTAGAATGCCTCCAATATAAATTAATTGTTCAAGATCATATAGTAAGTGATAGAACTAACCTTAGTTCTTACTAACCTTACTTTGTGATCTTGTGCAATTAATTTGTAGGTTTGTTTATTCTCCTGAAAATGAAGACTATAACACCATAGGATTATTGTAAGGAGGATTAAATAAATTAATATAATCAAAGATATTGGAACGCTTAGTAAACACATTACATGAGAGTAACAAGATCTTCTCTATATCTTATGGAACTCCCCTTCTTTGCTCTCTCGGCTTCCACAGGAAAGGTGTTCCACACTTTTCACCAAATGAAGAAAATGGAAGGTTTGGATTTTTCGAATGCTGTACCGTCTTAGGGTTACACTAAATAGGAAATTTAACTAACGGACATTCGTACCAGAGATCAATAAACCCACCTCTTCTCTCCGTTTCTTGACAAACGGCGACACCAGTTACCAGGGTAACGACTTGGTGCAACGCTTATTTAGGTCCGGGAAACTCTAGGCAGAGGTTCTCTTTACATCCAGTTCCGGGATATCGCCTTTTTCCGGTGCTGGTCTTGGTTTTCAGCTTAACCTCGCTCACTTCTATTCCAGGAAACCGCCTGTCTCCCTTCAGCACCCTCGATCTCTGGAGCATTTTGGAAACCTCTGTGGGAGAGCTGGGTTTCCTGTTGCTGGGAAGAAGTTTTCAGGACACGACTTCCGGCCTGAAAGGGAAACCTCCTCCTTTTTCTCTTAGATCGCTTACACTCCCCACCCCCGCCACGCGAGGCTGCGGCGCACGGTATGGGTGTGTTTGTGTCTATTTGTGTGGGGAGGGCGTTTGGAGGGAAGGTTACCGGGAACTCCGAGGCCGCAGAGGGGCAGGGATCCCGGTGACAGAGATGGGGGTGTTTTCTCTGTCTTCCAATCTGGGACCCCAAACCTCCCTTTACACACTCTAGACACTGCTTGCGGCCCAGCCGAAAGGTCGTGTCCATCCAAGCGCCCCCATACTTTTTGGGGAGCGAAACCTAAGCCACGGTGTCCATCCTAGCGGAGCGTGAGCGGGGAATGCCCCAGCTCAGCGGGCCGTCAAGATTCCGCTCCGGCGCAGCCTCAGGCCTCAGTCCGGGAGGGAGAGCTGCCCTCTGCCGGGCTGGGCTGGGGGAAAGGCAGCCGTGGCCTGGGTCACTGGTGAGGGCAGAATAACCTGTGGGAAGGCTGCGTTTTCATGAAGAACTCGGGTGAAGCTGCAGAGCTGCCTTTGAGCCCTGACTCCTTGGCTTCCTGGGTCGGAGGAGATCTTGTAATGAAGTGGTTCTTCGTCTCACACTAACAAGATGCCTGATTTCCTCAGGATCCAGGGGTGAGTGAGCGGTGGAGTGGTCGCACAAAGCCCCTGCTAGTTAGCTACGTCCGTGAATATCCTTGTCAACTAGTTTTGGAGGTTTCTTTGGAGAGTAGGAAAATTCTTGCGAGTAGAGCAATCTAGGTTAATTTCTGCATATTTTTAGGTGTTAGTTTTTGTTGCAGTTGATGCGTTGTCCACTGTTCCTCTGAGTATTTGTTTCATCGAAAACTTGTTTTCTGATTCAAGAGTTGCTTTGTAATCTACGCATTGACTTCCCTTGTTTGCCTGTGACTGTGTGGCTTGGGACAAATCTGACTTTAGGGGATCCTCACCTTCAAAATAGGGATGAAGATGCATGCCTCATATAATACAGAATTGTACAACTTAAATGGTGCTCATGAAAGCACATAATCTTACACAGTTTCAAAAATTTTTCACATAATCTTCCCTCACAGTAATGTGGCAAGGCATTTTCTCCTTTTAATGGGGAAGGAAAAACTATTCCTCAGGACTTCTGACTCCTAATTCAGTGGTATTTCATTTACCTGATGCTCTTCATACCATTTTAATAAAAAATAAGGTAATAAAAAAGAATTATTATTATTATTATTAAATGCTACTTATCGATTCATTTCAGATTGAAGAATGTCCCGGGTTCCATTGGGGAAAGTCCTCCTGAGAAATGTCATCCGGCACACAGATGCTCACAATAAGGTGGGAGGTACAACCCAGTCATTCCACAACAACTTACTGAGGGCAAACTGTGTCAAACAGTATTTTGACACAGTTGGGAATTACAAAGGTGACTAACATAGGTAGTTACATTAGTTTGATTAACACTGTAACATTGGCGTAGATACAAAGTGCCATAGAGTGCTGAGGAATAATGAATAATGAACTCTGCCTTGGAGACCTAGAAAAGGTTGTACAGAGGGGTGGTGTTTGAGCAGCTGATATTTGAACTAGCTATCGATGAATGGGCACAGATATAAAGGATCATTTTGGTATGTACTTTTTACATACACTTGTATGTGCTGCATTTATATATGTAATAGAGCAAGCACATAGGAGGACGTAGCTATGGAAACTTCCTAGACATAACCAGCCATCTTGTGGGACTGAGCTACTGAGCTTGAAGGCTAAGGACTTTAGGTTCAGTCACATCTATATTAATTTGCATAACATAGAACATAAAGGCAGTGTTCTACATTATACTTAGGTGACTAAATCTGAGATCTTAAAAGCTTGCAAGCGGCTGACATGTAACTATTGCTTTTTTATGCCGGAGCAAAGGAGAGTGAAGAAAACCAAAGACTGAAGGAAACAGTCCAAAGGACTAAGGGTCCACATGAACCACAACTTCCTCCTGCCTGAGACCAAGAGCTAGATGGTGCCCACCTTCCAGGGACACAAGAGAAAGTCCTGGTTAGAATGGGGGAAAAGATGTGGAACAAAAGTCAAATTCATAAAAAAGACCTGACTTACTGATCTGATAAGAAACTACAGGAACCCCTGAGATTATTGCCCTAAATTGCCCTTCCACTGTGGAATTGGAGCCACTCCTGAAGGCTGTCGTCTCTCCACCAAATAATAGACTGGCCTATAAAATAAAAATACCTGTAAGCAAGGTACTCCTTAGAACAGCCAACTATATGAGATCAAAAGGGCAACATTTCCCCCATGACACAGATGAAAAGGCTGGGAGGGGCAGCAAAACTGATGAGTGGAAATGCAGACCCCTGGGGTGGAAACGAGAGTGCTGACATATTGCAGCGCTATCAACCAGTGTTATGGGAACAGCTTGTGTATGAATTGTTGAATGGGAAATTAATTTACTATGTAAACTTTCACCTAAAGCACAATAAAATGTTTTTATGAAAAATCATCTTAGAGGAAATACCACTTACTAACATGGTCATAAGAAGAAACATAAAGACTTGGGACATGTCAGAAAAATGTGAACATCTGGAAAACAGGGAATGCCGGTGTAGTGGCAGAAGATGAGATCTGACTGGTGAACTAGAGTCACCTTGTTTAGAGACTTTTGTGATTATTGGGAGATTAAACTTTTGTTGTTCCTGTAGACAGTAGAAAAGTCATTAAATGTTTCTAAGCCAGGGTATCACAAGATCATATTTGTATTTTGGAAAGATGATTTATCACCTGAGTAGGGGATAGCTCAGATGGGGAGAAACAATGAAAGGCAACTATAGTGTTCTAGACAAGAGATGGGAGCTTGAAAGAAAACACTGACAGTAGGGATGAAGAAGAGGAATTAAGATATAGAATCCAAAGAACTTGGTGACTGGATGGTAGTGATTAAGAATGGAATCAAATACAACCAGTTTATGTGACTGGGTTGTTGCTGTTAAGCACTATCTAATTGGTTCCAACTCACAGTGACCCTATACAGGGGTTTCCAAGGAACAGCTGGTGAGTCTGAACCGCTGACCTTGTTCAAACGGACCTTGCGGTCCAGTGCATTATTCTGCAGCACCACCCCAGGACTCCATATGACTGGGTGGGTGATGGTATACCATTAACTGAGATAGAGAACAAAAGAAGAGTAATAAATATGGGAGAGGGAATTAGTTTGGTTAGTTTTGGTTACTTGTGAGATGCTTATAGGCTGTCCAGACATTTGGAAATTCAGATTTGGAGGAAAGTTGGGACTAGACATAATGGTTTGGGAATTCTGAGATGTTGACAGCACCTCTGTGGAAGAAAGCCCTGATGGTCTGCTCTCCTAAAGATTACAGCTTAGAAAACCCTGTGAGTTCTAGTCTGTTCCATGGATTCGTTAGCCTGCATTGAGTAGATGGCACTTTACTACAGGTTAGTAGTCCTGAACTAGATAAAGTCCCCTAGGGAGGTCACCTAGTGCTAGCAATTCTTGTGTGGTTTCTACAGTGAACCTGTATGACTCTTAGTTCGATCATAAATGTTATCATATCACCTGATACTTTGATTGTGGGTGAGAGTGTAAGTGTCAAGCAGCCTCTGCAATTGTGTTAATTGCCCTTAGTTAGTTGTGTGATGAGCTCATATTTGAAAGTGGTGGTTAAGAAACATTCAGCACAGATTTTACAGTATACTGCAGGAGAACTTAGACTTGAAATGCAGTTGTTTTCTCTGGTTGATTGTAGTCTGTTTTTCAAGACATTCTCTAGCAACCATACTGTTTATTTTGGTTTGTTTTACTTTATGACAATAAGTATAATATTGTGAAAAGAGACTTAGCCTTAAGTTTCAAGACTTGCTTAAACTAGTTATTATGTTATTGCTAGTTTTTTTACTTTGTCAACTCATATTTTTGAGCTCCCCCCCCCCCAATTACAAAATGTAATTGTAATACCTGCTTGGCTTCCTTCTTAAGCGTGCTTAAGGTTCAGTTCAGCATGATCAATATGATTAACATGATAGAGCATCTTGTTAAATTGTTAAGGGCTGAAGAGTTGGTTCCTCTGACTCATAGCAGTGACCCTGTATAGGGTTTCCCAGGAGCGGTGCATAGGTTTGAACCACCGACCTTGCAGTAGCAGTCCAGTTTTTAATCCTACAGTGCCACACCAGGACTAAGTATCTTATAAACATGTATTTATCATTTCCTAATTGTAGCACAATTACAAAATTGGTAAAGTTTTTAGTGTATATATGTGGTGGTGGTGGTTATATGCCGTGGAATCGGTTCCAACTCATAGCGACCCTGTACAGGGTTTCTGAGGCTGTAAATCTTTACGGGAGTAGAATATGTATAGGGGTTAGAAAAGTTCTACTGTGGCAGAATCTCAGCCTTTTGGAATTTACTGACTCTGATTGTTTAACCACTCTACTGAGAACAAGAATTTGTTTCTCAGGTCTCTGATCATAAGCTACTACTCATTTACAAACTTCTCCTTATCCAGAATTTCACATTTATGACAATTTTGAAAAAAATTCTCAGGTGGTGCTTCCAATGGTGTGGGCCAGTTTCCTGGCTGGCTGTGGGCCACCTTGAATGATACACTAGAGGCCCAGGTATTGACCAGGCCATGTGGGGGGGACAGTGACTGAGTGGGCACAGGATACTTTTTCCTGTTTGTGACATAGAGGTTGTGGATGATAAAAGGTTGAGGGTGGGCGGGGGAGGCTGAGCAAGGGCCTGAAGGTATACAGGGAGGTTGGTAGGGGGAGGTGGAAACAGGGAAGGAGAGGGGCCTTTGGGGGTCAGGGTAGATGGAGGATGAATAGGATCCCCATCCAGGGTGGGAGACAGCAGGCAACACATGACCCCCAAGGGCTCTGCCACACACAGCCCAAGATGTGCCTGGACACTGGATGGGTGGTGAGCAAGTGAGGAGGGCAGGGTAGGCAAAGATGGGAAGTCTCATATAAGGTTAATTTTACATAACAACCTGCTTTTTGGAACTTAACCTTGTTAATATTAGGAGTGGGTATAGTAGTAACCCAGTAATTAGTGCAGACTTTATTTTCAGCTACTATTCTATGATGTAAAGTATTATTTTTAGTAACTTATTTTTATCTACCCTTATCCCCCTCCTTTTTTTTTTTTTTTTTTAAATCTAGATTCAGGAGGAATCAGATATGTGGAAAATAAGAGAACTAGAGAAACAGATGGAAGATGCTTACCGGGGAACCAAAAGGAAAATGTTACCTAGCAGTTCAAGGTGGAGTTGCAGCTCTAAAATCCAAAATAATTCCTACCTTTTTCAAAATCATCAACTTTTGTTTAAAACCCTTTGATATGTTAAAGATAGTTGATCCACATCCAGAATTCCGTTTTTTGAGTCCTTGAGCCTTTCCTCTGAAATCTAGACTCAAGCATAAGGTGATGGCTATTATCTCTGTGGTCCTTCCTATTCCTTGTAGTTAAATGCAGGAGAAAATTTTAAAAATTCTTCCTTGAACAAATAATGGTGAGGGTTCTGTGGATTCTGCCTTGACGCATGACGTAAAATGTTTTGGGGGGTGGGTGGGTAAAGTACCATAATGGCATTTACTTTATTAAAACCATTTTCGTGTGAACCATTCAGTAGCATTAAGTATATTCACAATGTTGTATAACCATCACTAATTGCTATTTCGAGATCTTTTTATATGATCCTAAACAGAAACACTGTACCCATTAAACAACAACTTCCCTTACCCTCTTCCAGTTGCTAGTAACCTCTGTTCTACTTTCTGTTGATGAGTTTGCCTATTTAGGAGACTTGATCTGAGTAGAATAATACAGTGTTTGTCCTTTGTGACTGGCTGCTTTCATTTAGCATGTTTTCGAGGTTCATCCATATAGTAGCACATATCAGAACTTCACTTCTCTTTATGGCTGCATAATATTCCATTGTAGGTTTATAAGAGGAATCCTGGTGGCACAGTGGTTAAAGCACTCGGCTGCTTTGGCAGTTCGAACCCACCAGCCGCTTCACAGGAGAAGAGATAATGGCAGATTGCTTCTGTAAGGATTTACAGCCTTGGAAACTCTATGAGGCAGTTCTGCTCTGTCCTTACAGGGTTGCTCTGAGTCAGAATTGTCTTCATGGCAATGAGTTTGGTATGTATATGCCACATTTTGTTTATTCATTAATTTGTTGATGGACATTGTTTGTTTTGTATTTTACTTGTTGTGAATAATGCTTTGGTGAACATTGCTTTACATATGTCTATTTGAATTCTTGCTTTCAGCTCTTTCGGGTATATAAGGGGATTTCAAACAGTTCAGAGGGAAATTTCACTATCTTTTAATTCCACATTTTCACAACTGTTTTGAAGCCCTTTATATACCCTAAGAGTAGAATTGCTGACTCATTTCTGTTAATATTTTGAGTAATTGCTGTCTGATGGCTTTTAATTTAAGATTTTTGTATAGGTATCTTGTAGTCATTTAGCTGACTGACCACTTATTCCTTTCTCCTAATAGTGTTGCTTCTTCTACTGTCTTTGCCACATCACATAGTCTTTTGCATTACCTTCTTAGTTTGAGTATGACTATGAAGGATTATGTGGGCTTGGCTGTCTGACCTGTGGAGGTATAGGAATGTCTGGATAGTTGGGAACATCTCTTGGGGATTATGTGCCTGTGAGTGTAGGAGCTGTGAGTACAAAAAGTGACTCTAGCTTAGTAATCCTGATTTACCAGTAGTTAATAGCTATTTTAGGAGAGTGAGTATGCATATGGAGTATGTGAACTTTGGCATAAGATTGGTTGTATGTGAATAGCTTCACACAAGACGTATTCAGCCTACCACCCATTGTAAGAAGGCAGTCTCCAAAACAAATCCTTTCAGGTTTTCACTGTGAGGTTATAGCTGTAAGGTTTTAGAAGCACAGTTAGTATAGTGATTTATATTAGGTTTTTCAAGTGGCAATTCTGGTAACAAAATTTTGATCTTTTAAGGTGAGTTTTACATTGATATTTTTGATAGTCCACAAGTCTGTCATTTTGTCTTACTCTGAAGACTTGCTACCATTGTATCAAATACCATCAGGGTCACCCATGATAGGTAAGATTCAGCTACCTTTCAGACTAGGAAGAAGGGATAGGTGGCCCACTTGTGAGGAACTAGCTACTGTAAACCTTATGAATAGCAGTGGAAATTTGTCTGATAAACTAAAAGGAACCACATGTTGGAAAGTACTCAAACTATGACCAAGGAAGAACCTTCTCCTCAGAGTCGAGTCAACTGCAATGACATGGATGGAGCAAAGCTCATTTGGACCTTCATTTGCTGATGGGGTACAACTCAAAATCAGAAACAGTTGCAAACATCCATTTATAATCAGAATCTGGAATGTATGAAGTATGAATGTAGGAAAATTAGAAGTAATCAAAAATGAAATGGATTGCATATCTTAAGCTTTAGTGAGCTGGTATTGGCCATTTTGAATTGGACACATATGGTTTACTATCCTGGACATGACAGAGATCTGTGATAGGATAATATCAACACCCCTACAAGGAAGAAAAGTTAATATTATTATTCAAATGTACTAAACTCGATGAAGAAATTAAATAATTCTAACACTTCATTGGACTCCTGGTGTGGTGCTGTAGGATCAGCAATGGACTATGAACCACAAGGTTGGCAGTTCAAACCCACCAGCTGCTCCTTGGAAACCCTGTATAGGGTTGCTATGAGTCAGGATTGACTCGACAACACTTAACAACAACAACTAACTTCTTCAGTCTGAAATTGATCAGACTTGAGATCATGATGTCTTGATAATTATTGGCGATTGGAATGCAAAAGTTGGCAACAAAGAGGAAGTATTGCTTGGTTGTTGGAGAATATGACCTTGGTGACAGACACAAAACTGGAGATCAAATGATAGAATTTTGCAAGACCAATGAATTACTCATTGTAAATACCTTTTTTCAACATAATTGGAAATAGACCTCACCAGATGGAATACAGAGGATTCAAAATGACATCTGTGGGAAGAGACAGTGGAAAAGCTCAATAGCATCAGCCAGACAAGGCCAGAGACAGACTGTGGAATAGACTACTGACTGCTTATGTGCAAGTTCAGGTTGAAGAAGACAACAAAACAAGTCTATGAGAGCCAAAATATAAGCTTGAGTATATCCCACCTGAATTTAGAGACCATCTCAAGAACAGATTTGATGGATTGAACTCCAGTGATCAAAGACCAGAGGAAAAGTGGAATGATATCAAGAACATCCTACATAAAGAAAGCAGAAGGTCATTAAAGACAGGAAAGAAAGAAAAGACCAGGCTACTCAAACTTGCTCTTGAACATAGAGAAGTTAAAATGACTAGAAGCAATGACAAAGTAAAAGAGCTGAACAGAAGATTCTAAAGGGCAACTGGAGAAGAGAAAATCAAGTATTATAATGAAATGTGCAAAGATCTGGAATTAGAAAACCAAAGACAAGAATTTCTCAGTATTTCTCAAGCTGAAAGATCTGAAGAAAAAAAAATTCAATCCTTAACTTGTAATATTGAAGGTTTCCATGGGCAAAATATTGAATGATTCAGGAAGCATCAAAAGAAGATGGAAAGAATATAATTGAGTCATTGTACTTTAAAAAAAAAAAAAATGACAACCAACCATTTTAAGAAGGAGCATATGATCAGGAGTCTATGTATTGAAGGAAGAATTCCAAGCTGTTCTGAAAGCATTGGTGAAAAACAAAGCTCTAGGAATTGATGGAATATCAATCGAAATGTTTCAGCAAACTGATGCAGTACCGGAAGCACTCAATAGTCTATGGCAAGATGTTTGGAAGACACCTGAATACAATATTAGTATCATACACAAGTAAAATTTTGATTAAGATAATTCCAAAATGGTTACAGCAGTACACTGACAGAGAGCTGCTAGAAATTCAAACCAGATTCAAGAGAGGACGTGCATGGATTGAAGCATATGATTGCTGACATCAGATGGATCTTGGCTAAAAGTACAGAATACTAGAAAGGTGTTTGCTTGTGCTTTATTGACTATGCAAAGACTTCCAATTGTGTGGATGTTGACAAAGTATGGATAACATGAAGAGTGGGAATTCTGCTCATGCAACTCCTGTACATAGATCAAAAGGCAGTTCTAACAGAACAAGGGTATACTGAAGGGTTTAAAATCAGGACAGGTGTCTGTCAGGGTTGTATATCCTTTAACCATACTTATTCAATCTGTAAACAGCAAATAATTCTAGAAGCTAGATTATATGAAGAACATGGCAGGCATTATGGTTAGAAGAAGGCTCATTAATAACCTGTAATATGCAGATGACATAACCTTACTTGCTGAAAGCAAAGAGGACTTGAAGCATTTACTGATGATGTTCAAAGGATACAGCCTTCAATATGGATTACAACTCAATGTAAAGAAAACAAGAATCTTCACAACTTTTTTTTTTACATTTTCATTTTAAACTATTTTAATATTTAAGACCATCCAAATACTCTTTATAAATTGAAATCAAGAGAAAACCATTGTCCACTGACTTGCCCAATGCACTTTTTTTTTTTTTTTAAGTTTTTATTGTGAATTGAGTGAAAGTTTACAGGGCAGATCATCAGTTTTACATTCAACATTGTAATGAAACAAAGTTTCATTACAATGATTATAATCCCCTCCATGTATCATCAGTTAACAGTATTTCTGTCTATTCACTTTAGCTCCTTTTTTTAAAAAAAAAACACAAAGGCATATATAATAATACTACCAAAGGACACATTCTGCAAGTCTGCCTCCTGGCTACCAGCTCTCAGGCCCTCTCTTTCCATGAATCTAGAGTCCTCGGCTGCTCCCTTTCTCCATGCCCGCAATGTCTGCCTCTATCTGGTGTTGCTGCTTCTCTGTATAAGGTCCTGTATTCTGCTTGTGCTTTTTCTCCCTTGATGGTCCTAGGGTCGTTTCTGGACTGTAAGATTAACTACTACCCTGTTTTTGTTACAAAACTTCATTTGAATTTTCACAACTTAACAATAAGCATCAGCACGATAAATAGAAAAGTATGAAATTGTCAAGGATTTCATTTTACTTGGATTCACAACCATAGAAAAGTATGAAATTGTCAAGGATTTCATTTTACTTGGATTCACAACCAACACTCACGGTAACAGCAATCAAGAAATCAAATGACTCCTTGGCCGTGGCTAATAGGTTTTGAACTGCAGACCTTGAAGTTAGCCAAAAAAAAAAAAAAAAAATCAAATGGCATATTGTATGGACAAATGTACTGCAAAAGACCTCTTTAAAGTGTTAAAGAACAAAGATAATAACTTTAAAAGACTAAGGTGCACCTGACCCAAGTCATAGTATTTTCAATTGCAAGTCCTGGTGTAGTATAAACATTCAACCTTAGGGTTGGTTTGAATTGTAAGGTCAGTGGTTCAAACTCACCAGCCACTCCCCATAAACTGTACAGGTTTCTGAGTTGGAACATACTGTACTTAACAACAACAACAACATACATGTGAAAGCTGGACAGAAGGAAGACCTGAAAAGTACCATGGACTGCCAGAAGAACAATGTTGTCTTGGAAGAAGTAAAGCCAGAAAGCTGTACTTAGAAGCAGGGATAGTAAGAGTTTGTTCATGTTCTTTGGGTATGTATCAGGAGGTACCAATTACAGAGAACAACATGCTTGGTAGAGGATCAGCGAAAAAAGAGAAAACCCCCAATGAGAGATGGATTGACACTGTGGCTACAACAATGGGCTCAAATAATAATTCTAAGGCTGTCACAGAACCAGGTAGTATCTTGTTTTGTTGTACATAGGGTCACTGTGAGTTAGAGCCAATTTCATGGCACCTGTCATAGTCAATACATTTTAGAACATAATTTCTTAGTGGCAGTGATCGTGATTGTCTCATCTGCTTTATTCCCAACAGCTAGAATAGTGCCTAACACATAGTAGGCTCTTAAGAATTCCTGATAACTAATTGGTTGTCTTGATGACTCACTACTGGGCATTGTAAACACAGACTGGACCAGTGGCTCTCAACTTTTTTCCTACCTTAAAATACTCATGGATTATGCCTTGTTCCCACTGCTGTTATGATTATACTCCAGCAATGAGTCACTGGTTTGCAGGGAGAGAGGGCTAGTTCAGAATCTCTAGGGTAGTTTGAAATATCTCTAGTTCTGATTCTGCTTTTTCTTCTCTGTATGCCCTATTTGAGGATCGGTGAGTTACAGCATGCCATATTCCTGAAGTAATTTTTCCTGTATTTCACAGCTCGTTCCTCTCTATACACCACTAAAGTTATATAATAAAACATTGCTCTTATTGTTTTCATTGTACTTTAAAGATGTATAGAAGTGAACAGATAGATGTCTTTTGTTGTTATAAGAGTTTCAGGTCACTGTGAGTCGGAACTAACTCAACTGCGCTTAACAACATCAGGTTGTTTTGTTCTTCCCTCGGCTTATTCCATGAACTTTATGCATGATGTTCCATAGAGTAACCTCACAGATGATGTTAAATTTAAGGTACTTCTCTGCTTTTTCTTACAGCCGGATGCGTAGTGATGGTTTTGATGAAGAAAGTCAGAGAGACTATTGGAAGCCAAGGCATGAAATTTCTGGGACATTGGAAGATGATTTCCTTAAAGCTAAATCTTGGAACAAGAAGTTGTATGATTATGAAGCTAACATGCCAGACAGGTTTGTGACTATATTTTTATGACTTGTAATATTTGACCTAAGAATGTATGCTTTTAAAAAAAATTAATGGTCCTCACAAAAACTTGTACACAAATGTTGACACCATCATTATTTGTAATAGTCAAAAAGTAGAAACAATCCAAATATTACCAGTTCATATATATTTGAATTATTTCTACTTCAAACAAAATACGGTATGTTTTACAATGTAATATTATTTGACAGTACAAAGTAATGAAGTACTGATACACTACAGAATGGATAAATTTTAAAAACATGCTAAGTGGGAAAAAACAGACAACACCCCCACCACCACCCCCCTGCCACCCCCACACGACTTGAATTTATGTGGCATGTCCAGAATAGGTAAGTCCATAGACAGAAAGTAGATTCGTGGTTGCCAGTATGGAGGGGAGAAAGGAGGGTGACTGCTAATGGGTACGGGTTTTCTTTTTGGGGGTGATGAAAATGTTCTTCAGTTGGCAGTGGTGATGGTTGCACAAATATGTGACTGTATTAAAACCCACTGAAATTTACACTAGAGGATGGTGAATTTATGGTATGTGAGTTACATCAATAAAACATAATGTTATTAAAAAATTTAAGTCCCAGGAGAAAATGTATGTTTTTTATAGAAGTGCTTCAGAGTTAAAAAAAGATGATCAGAATCTTAGTGCATCTTAAGGAAGACAATGGCAGGTTTTCTTACAAGAAAACAATATTTTTGGTGTCTACATGATACTATGCAGTGTAGCAAATAGAACCAACTGAGTTACTTTGCTATAGTGTGGGACTAGGTCTGCCATATCTGAGGTCTTTCTTAGTTTTGTTTCAATTTCCCAACATATGTAATATGTTACATTACAGATGGGGTCACAGTGGTTATAAAGAGCTATATCCTGAAGAATTTGAAACAGACAGGTAAGGCACATAGAATTACTGGGAAAAAACGTCTGAAAATTCAGATTATTCTGTACTTTTAAAAAAGAATAAACATTTGCTTCAATTTAGAGAAACAACATGTAATTTAATTGATTGACAGTATTATGCCTTTCCTTGATGTTTGGAATGTCTATAGCATATCTATCTATCTATCTATCTATCTATCTATCTAGATATATATAGTTGTTGTTAAGTGCCATCAAGTCGGTTCCGACCCATAGCGACCCTGAACAGGGTTTCCGAGGCTGTAAATCTTTATAGGAGCAGAAAGCCTCATCTTTCTCCTGCGGAGCAGCTGGTAGTTTCGAACTGCTGACCTTGTGGTTTGCAGCCCGATTCGTAACCACTACGCTACCAGAGCTCCATATATATATATATATTATATTATATATGGTGGTGTGCTGTGGAGTCAGTTCTGACTCATAGCGACGACCCTATATGGGGTTTCCGAGGAGCAGCTGGTGAGCTTGAACCACACCGACCTTGCAGTTCAAAGTGACTTTGCAGTCCAGTGCATTAACCCATAGTGCCACACAGTAATCCAGTATAACATTATTTTCATTTTAAAGATAGGAAGTGAAAGCAATAGAGTACGTAAAGTCTGAGTAAGCCTATTTATATTTAAAGCTCTAAAAATGGTAACCCATCTTCTCTCTAGAGTGTAGGACATGAAAATGTAAGTACATTTCTATAGTAAGTTTCTTTCTTACTTTTTTCTTATCAGTAGTGATCAGCAAGATGTTATCAATGGAAAAAAGCTATCACCCCAGGTAAAAGCAACTACCCATGAATCCCGCAAACGCAAGAAATCAAAGAAATCGCACAAAAAAAAGCAGAAAAAGAAGTCACATAAAAAACAAAAGAAAAGCAAAAAGGAAGCCGTAGACGTAACAGCCAACTCTTCAAGTGAGCTGTCAGAAGAAACTGAAGCTTCCAGTACCAGGAAAAGGAAGCAGCCACATAAGCGCAAGAAAAAATCCAGAAAAAAGTCTCTCAAGAAACCAGATTTGTTTTTAGAGTCAGAAAGTGACACTTCTCAGTCAGAAGACTCAGCGTCCTGCAGTTCTGAGGACAGTCAAGAAAGAGACACTAAGAAAGCCAAAAGGAAAAAGAGAGAGAAAAAAGTTCATCTCCCTATGACTAACAATGAAATACAGGAAAGGACAAACAAACGCACAAATTGGAAAGTAGCTACAGATGAAAGGTCTGCTGAGAGTTCAGAGGATGACTAAGTTGAGAAAGCAAGCCCATTGTTCAGTTACTCATGTGACTGCACATTTACAGCCCTTATACCTGGGGGTATTGCCAATGACTCTTGATCAACACAGGAGACCTCCGGTCAGAGCTTTCTTGTGCCATCTGTGTATATTCTGATAGACCTTTTTGGCCAGTTAAATTTGATCACTTTTTATTTTTAATAGGGAATCTGGTATTTTGTTATGAAGGTTTCTTGAAAAGATTATTATTATTATTATTATTTGTAATTAATCATGTTTAGTTTAGAGTACGTATGCAGCAAATTAAAGGACCCAGAAAGCTGAATCCAGTAATGGCCTGGGCACACCTGTGGGAATGTTGAATTTGGGGAAAGGAAGGGTTAGAATCAAGAGGTGGATTGGAACCAGTGAACTAAAATGACAAGGGAACAGTCTTACACTTTTTCTCCCTTTACAATAGAAAACAAAAACTTGATTGTTTCCAGCTTCAGTGATGATTCTCTATTTGGTCCTCACTAAGTGTGGTCCAGTTTGCTTAATGAGAAATGGGCACATTAATGAGCAAACGTTTTCCTTCTAAACATGTGTTAGAAGGCCCTGAGGTTTTCTGTGAAAATTTCCCTGCTGGACAGGGTATATAAAATTTAGGGGTTTAATATGCAATATACCCCTAAGTCTGATAATGATATAATTAAGTTTTCTAGTTCCATTGCTGGATGTCACCTAAATGGATTTGTGTCTGGAAAGGTCTCTTCAGTTGTCTTTTAGATAATTCTTAACCAAATAGGTGCAAATTAGAAATTCATCATGCTAATGGTGCTCTGAACAGGATTTCAGGGTTGCAACTGCCATTTCCATGTTCATTTCTACATCTGTTAACTCCAAATTTTTCTTGAAACAGTGTTAACTATTCAAAATGAAACAGGCTACTCAGGGACATAACTGCTTTTCCCCAGGCTACCTTTAGATTAAAGTACTAGACAATTCACATTTCCAGTGTCATACTTTAATCCCTAACATGTTAATTCTTAAGAACCCAAAATATTGCTGATAGAAGACAGGCAGAAAGAACACAAGTGAATTTTTTCATTATGGGAGAAAAGTAAGTTAGCTCCCTGACCTCACTTTCCCATGTATAACACAGAAATAGGTTCCTATGAGAGCCTAACAGTATACAACACCAGCAATAGACTACAACGATGAATGACATTCCACGGGGTGGAGTATTTTATAGTTCTCACTACCAATTTGTTCTCTTTACTAAACATATTTCTAATAAAGTGCTTAGTCTTAACGTGGCTGGCCAGAGGTTATCTATCTCTTGATTATGAGCAGGTGCTATGTTATGGAATATTTATTTGAAGTATTAATATTTTGGCTTTGAACTGTCCATTTTCCATGGTGAATATTTTTATCTTTGGTATTATTGGGGCTCAAAGAGGTAGACAAGTTGCTAATTTTGCTAATTGCTGTTGAGTCAGTTCTGACTCATAGAGACCCTGTATAGGGTTTGCTGGGTTTAAACCAATGACCTTTCCTCTAGCAGCTCAGTGCTTGTCCTACAGCACCATACCAGGACTCCAAGTCTAGAATTACTACCTCTTAACTTAAAGCAATTGTTAACATTCTTGGAGCCAAGTAGAATCCTTGTTGAAGAGTTGTTAAGCATGTATTATTTAATCATTGTTTCTGTACTATAAAAAGTACTGTTCTCATTCTAAGCACAGACTCAGGAAGGTAGGCGAATGGAACAAGGCGTCTCTGGGAAGTTGGCTCTATTTGGGTCATAACCCTCTGTCCCTCTAATACTAGCAGGCCTATTTCTTTCCTAATGTGGTATCTTGCCTGTTTTTGTGGCCATGTGTGAGCAATAAAGCTGTCTTTGCTCTTCACCTATCTCAACTCCCAACTCTCCTCTTTGCCTTAGGTAAAGCTTTGTTGGTTTTAACTCCCTTTGTATGACTTAAAGAGTGGCTTTTCAAAATGTAAGATCTCCCGTTTGCCCTCCCAGCCTTAGAACATACTTATTTCTAGTGTTCCTACCAGTCAGAGATCTTTACTTTCATTCGGTTTTAAAGTGGGATTAAAAAAGAAGACTCGGAGAATTCACATTTATTGAATAACTGATGTGATAACAACTGGAATTTATGAATTCCAAATAACTGACTTTACGAACATCTGATCTGTTACTTTTTAGCACCAAGAGACTTGGTAACAGCTTGATGTTGACCTGGCAATGCCCCACTGGCAGTTTAATAAAATGTCCTTTGCTTCTGTCATGCTCCTAGGAGACGGCTTACTGCCCTCCTTTCTGTACAATCTGGGCAAACCGACTGGTAATGGCAAGGGTAGTATCAATGAAACGGTCCACACAGCTAGAGAGGCAATTTTCAGTGCGAGAGTCTAGACGATTGCCTGGCTTCTCCACACACTTATCCCAACATAGTTCCATGAAATGATGCACCTAAGGAAGAAAGAAAAATATTAACCATTGGGATCTGTAGATAAAGGCCTAACTCCATTTTCTTATTTTCCTATTGTCTGCAGTCTTTCAATCAACAAAACCTGGAGTCAGTATAAGTTTTCTTTTCTCACTTATATTACAAATATTGCCCAGACTCTTAATCCTAGATTTCAATAAAATGCTCGTAACTTCTATTTTTCTCCTCTTTAGTAATCAAAAGGACACTTTTAATCAAGTCATCCCTCTTTGCTTAGATTTATCAACCTTAAATTTCTCTGCTTGGATGCACAAGGCACTCCCTAATATAACTCCCAACGCATACTGTCTCAGAGAGGTCTATACACACAGTATGCTCACCCTGGCTCTTAATGTTCCCAGAATGTCCTCCCTAAAGATTCTCCCTATTCTATAACACAGTTCAAATTCTTTCCTCCTTGAAAGTCACTGAGAACTTGATCTTCTCTGAACCAGTCCTATGGTGTTAAGTACCATCGAGTCAGTTCTGACTCAAAGCAACCCTGTATAAGGTTATAGGATTGGCTGGTGAGTTTGAACTGCTGACCTTGTGGCCCAGTACTTACCTACACCAGGACTCCTATAGTATGGGAGCCTTTAGCCTTCCTGGAATCACCAGGACATGTGAAAATGTGAAAGCTATGGATTCACACACCAGAAAAATATACACACAGAAACATAAAAGGGTGTACTATCAGAATGGTAAGGACCCAAAGATTTCTAACAAGTGTTGTCACTTATTCTCTCTGAACCCATCCCCCCCAAAAAAAGGGAAAACCGTTTCCTGAGGGCTTGGCTTACTATTTGGGAAGCTGGGTACTAAGAATACGTAGTCCCTGACTTTCGACCACGGTTCTGTTTCATTGACTGTCCATAGTTGATTCTGATGTTAAGTCAAATATCTCACTTTTCAGTTCTCATAACAGTAATGCAGCCTTTTAGTATATTTATAAGGACTCCTGGTGTGGCGCTGTAGGATAAGCACTAGACTGCTAACCTCAAAGTAGGCAGTTCAACCCTACCAGCCACTCCTTGGAAACTCTATACAAGGTCTCTGAGTCAGAGATGACTCTAGACTGCACTTAACATCTTTATAAATCATAAGGCAGGGCTGGGTTAACCAAAAGCTTACTTGTGCTCACTAATCTGCAGTGAACAATTTCACATTTTTCATCACCTCAAAGATTCTGCTTCTAGGCCTGGCTAGCAGCTGTCTTCCAATCCCACTGCTCCTTCCTACATAGCATCAAATTCTTTAATCATAGTTACAGTCCCTGCCAGGGAACTGAATGAATACCCAGTAAGAAAGATAAGCCTGGGCTTATTTGTAATTGCTTATTATCTGTAGGGAAGAATTTCACAGGTCCTTGGTGTGGCGCTGTGGGTTAATGTGTCAGACTGCAAAGCCGTTTGAACTGCAAGATCGGCGGTTCAAGCTCACCAGCTGCTCCTCGGAAATCTTATACAGGGTCGCTATGAGTCCGAATCGACTCGATGGCACTTAATAACAACAAAGGAGTCCTGGTGTGGCGCTGTGGGTTAATGTCCCAGACTGCAAAGTCGGTTTGAACAGCAAGGTCGGCGGTTCAAGCTCAACAACAGCTCCTTGGAAACCCTATAAAGGGTCGGAAACGACTTGACGGCACTTAACAAGAGGCCTAGCATATCCTCCTCTGAAAAGATGGGGCTCATGAGCTCAAGGTCGTGCAGACCATGAGAGATCACGCCGGGTTCGGTGCGTGTTTAATCAGCTGCAAAACCTTTTTTACAACAGTTGACGCTATTTCAGAGCCCGCCTTTTCCTAATAACGTAATGTTCTAGCATTGATTTCTTCGTTTTCAAATACATGCCTGCATATGGTCCTTAGAATCCGGTGAGGCATGAACGTAGCCAGGTCCCTAGAGGGTGGGCAAATGCATAGTTGGGGCTGAGGTATAATTAGAATCGAGATCTAGCCGCCACGCTAGGTTCCCGTTCCCTTGGATCGCCCAAACCGTTCTCTCCTGCTTAATACGTTGTTGTCACCCCATGCTGGGCTGGTACAAAGGGCACCTGAGCACTACCCGCGGCAGAAGGGCCATGCCCGGTCTCTTTTAAGGAGAAAGGCGCGCAAGCAGGAATCTAACACCGGCAAACTGCCGGTGGCCTCACCGCGCCGCCAGTGTGGAGCTCCGCGGGCGCTCAGAACCTGTACTTCACCCTCCTTCCCCTTCACCACCCAAGGCTGCTCCCCGTCCAGGCACCTGTGCAGTGAACTGCGCCTTCTGCTGTTCCGCCGCCACAAGGCGTTGCAATTCTGCTTCACCAGCTTCACCCAACTCCGCCATTGCTCACAAGCTTTGGGCTTTTGGACAAGCGCGCATGCGCGATCGGCGTGCACTCGCCCTGCCGATTTCCGGTTCTTGCGGTGGTTTCTTTTTCCTTTTTTTCACGAGGGGGCGTTGTTATTTATACAACTGCTTCCGGGTTGCTGGGTGACCTTGAGCCCTAAGGACAGACATGGCGGTGGTCTGGAGGCTGGGTGTTGTCTGCGGTGCTCAAGGAGCCCGAGGTGAGGCATTCTGGTAGCTGGAGGCTGCAGGGGTGAAGAACGGAGTTGGGGAATTGTCTGCAGAGTGGTGAGATCTTTAGAGAAGGGGATCCTTTTCCCATTGGTTGTTCTGGCAACTGCCAGAAACCATTGCCTAAGGGCCCAACTGTTCACTCAAAAGAGTGTGTCACCTGTTCCTGCCTACCGTGATGAGTAGATAATCTGAAAAAGCTTCTTTTGGAAACTATAATCCTGCAAACGCTGTTCCACACAGGCGTTCTCTTTCCCCCTTGCACGGTCCTGAGCATGCCATCACCCCAAATCGGTGATGTGGGTGGTGTATGACTGTGGGGTGGGGCTGTCAGTTCGATAATTACTTAACTGGACATTTGTGGTATGCCAGATGCTGTGATATATTGGGTTCCAAATGTGAACAAAACATGCTTCCTGCTCTCGAAGAACTATAGGGAAAACCCGTGATTATATAATTTAAACATAAAGCAAAGAGTCAGAGAAAGAGGATTGATTTATTTCGTTTGTTTTGGAAGGAGTCTCTGCTTGGTGCTTTACTACTAAACAAAAGGCCCCAGGGGCACGTTGGAAGAAAAGCCTGGCCATCTACTTTTGAGTAGTCTTAGCCATTGAAACCCTATGGGAACATAGAGCTGCTCTGACACACTTTGGGCCTCTGAAGGAGATGTGCTTGATCTGAGTGTTGAAGAAAGGACAAGGGAATTAGGCATTATGGTTAAAGCTACTGTGCTCAGCAATGCTGACTGGTTGCTGTCTAGTGCATACCAACTCATGGTGACGCCAGTCAGAGGAGAGCTGCACTTTATAGGGTTTACAGTGGCTGGATTTTCCGAAGTAGATGGGTAGGTTTTTCTTCTGAGGCACCTCTGGGTGAACTTGAACCTCCAACCTTTTGGTTAGCAGCTGAACACTCTACCCATTTACACCACCCAGGGACTTTAAAGCAGTGATAAAACATGGAATAAGAGAAAAGCAAAAAAAATAGAATAGTATTAGACTGAAGATTAAAGTGAGGAATGATAGATGAATCTGGAAAGGTGAGTTAGAACCACAGCAATGAGAACTTGAAGGTCTTTAGAAGGACTGTGCACTTTACGTGGTTTGTGAGGGGGAGCCATTAAGAATTTGGGCATAAATTTGCAGTTTACATTGATTATGTTAGCAGCATTATGTGATGGTGGTGATGGGAGGTGGGGTTAAGACTGAAGTCAGGGAGACAAGTTAGGACATTTTGTAGTAATCCAGGCAAGGATGGATAGGTCCTGAATTTGAAAAATAATATAAAGAGAAGATAGTTTTAAGAAATGTTAAAGAGATATGATAATAGGACTTAGTGATTGAATTTAGAGGGAAAGTTTTATATGATTTCCAAATTTTGACACTAGTTAAAGAGTGCTTAGGGATGTTGACTCTGTAGGATAAGCAGTGGACTTCAAACCACAAAGTCAGTGGTTCCAGCCCACCAGCTACTACTCTGTGGAAGAAAAGTGAAACTTTCTGCTCCTGCAAAGATTCACAACCTTGGAAGCCCTATACAGGGTTTCCATGAGTGTGGCACTGTGGGTTAATGCAAAGTTGCTTGAACTGCAAGGTTGATGGTTCAAGCCTACCAGCCACTCCTTGGAAACCCTATATAGGGTCACTATGGGTCTGAACGGACTCAACAGCACTTAACAACAACAGTGAGTCAGAACTGACTTGATGGCCCTTATCGCAAGGTGAGTGGTTCAAACTCATCAGCCACTCCTCGGAAACCCTATAGGGTGGCTATGAATCTGAACCGACTCGACGGCACTTAACAACAGCAGCAACAATGGGAATGTTATTAAATAAAGTGGGGAACATACAAACGGCAAACAAATCTTGGATGAGAAAATGAGTTGAAGCACGAATTCAGTGTTGGGCCTGGTGTGTTTGCGAATCATGTAAGGTATGTCAATGGAGAGGCTTAGCAGGTAGATAATAAGCTTCTGAAATTCTGTGGAAATGTCTGCACTATAAGTACAGATTTGGACATCATTAACATATAGGCAGTAGGTAAAACCAGTAACGGCTTGGGGTGGGCATAGGGAACAAGGAGAACAACGAGTGGAGCTGTGAAGACCAGCATTTAATGGTTAAGGCAGGAAGAGACTGATAAAGGAGGATCAGAGAAGAAGAACTAGAAGAGAGTTCTATCTAAGAAGAAAACAGAGGAGAAGCCATCTATACTACATGATGTACAGAGGCCCAAAAATCAGTACCTTTTGGATATGACCACATGAAGGTCATAGGTAACTTACTAAAACAGCTTTGGTGGGGATAAAAACAACTGGCCAGAAAGTTAAAGAATGATTGGGAAGTGAGGAAGTATAGATGATTTGAGCAACACTTTCAAAAGTCTGGATGAAAAGAAAAGGAAGAAAGAACAGGGGAGCGAGTACATGAACATATAGACCAAGAGAAGAATTTAGTATATTACATGGTAGAAAATGGCCAGTGGGATATAATGAGGCGTTGGGGACACACCTTTTACTGAGTGCTTATAATATTTTGGCATGGGGCGGAGGTGGCTCAGTGGTAGAATTCTCAGCGTCCATGTGGGAGATGGGTTTGATTCCCCAGCCCCTGCACCTCATCTGCTGCCACCACTTATCTGTCAGTGGTTTGTGTGTTACTATGATCCTGAACAGGTGTCATTGGAGCTTCTAGACGAAAATGGGCTAGGAAGAAAGGCTGGAGATCTGCTTCTAAAAATCCCTGTGGATGACGGCAGTCCAATTCACAACTGATGCTGAAGATGGCACAGAACCAGGCAGCGTTTTCTTCCATTGTCCATAGTGCTGCCATGAGTCCCAAGTCTACTCATCGACAGCTAACAGCAGTAATATTCTGGAGAATGTACTGAGCATCTTGCATGTTGTTGTTAAAGTGCTGTCAAGTCAGTTCCAACTCATAGTGACCTTATATAGGGTTTCTGAGGAGCAGCTGGTAAGCTTGAACATCCAACCTTGTAGTTCAAACCAACTTTGCAGTCCAGCATATTAATCTACAGCACCACAATATATTATTTTCAACACAGTTTTGTGAAATAATATTTTCATTTTACAGATGAGGAATTTGAGACTTAGGGGGAGCCTGTTGAACTCAGTTGCCTATTACCTCACACCTAGTAAGTGATGGATGTGGATGAACATAGGTTTCGTTGTTTTTAACCAAGAGCCAGGGTTCAAAAGGAACCAGAAAGGGATGGAATCAAGAGTACACTAGAGAAGTTGGTCTTGAAAAGGAGGAAGGTAATAAATGAACTTCCCAGACTAGATTGAATTCCTTGAGGGCAAGGACTTTTTCTTTTATCCCTTTTGCTTCAGTGTAGACCACAATCTTCTGTTCAGTAAATGTTTACTAAATGAATGGATGAATAAATGGTAAGAAGAGCTACTGTTTATTTATTTTTTTGATTAATAAAAGTAGAGCTATTTTGCTTAAGTGATTCACTGACTCTTCAGTCTATCAGTACCTATTGAATCTGGCCTTTGAGCAACCCAGGGAAATAGGTGTGATCCACATTTTACAGATGAGTTATTCTTTATTTCGAGTTCAATGGTTTGCCAGTGTTCATTTAGAGATTTCTAGTCTGTTAGTCCTCGTAAAAGTAGAGGTGTTTATAAACCCCTAATTTTTCCCTCCTTAGCTCTGTTCCTCCGAACTCCAGTGATCAGACCTGCTCTTGCCTCAGTATTTCTCCAGGACCGGTCTACTCCAGGAGTGCAGCACATTCATCTGTCCCCCAGCCACTGTTGTATGTGCTCTTCACTGCCTTTACTTTCTGGGCCTTGTCATCGACACTAAGCTAGTTATCATTCTTTTGGCAGGACTTGTAGTCTATATGGGAGACTGTCGTGTCCAACTCTGTCAAATAAAAATCTATATTATAACTTTGGGCAGAGAATGCCAGCATAGTTTAGAGATGCTATTTATACTTATAAAGAACCTTTGACCTAAGTCTTTTTTTTAAATGAGAGATTAGGCAGATCTCTATTTCTGCTTTAAGCAACTTTATCTTTGCTTAGTTCACTTAGATTTTGCAGAGTAGTTTTAATGTGGGGTGGGGGCTCATGGGGCATGTGGTAAAACTAAACTATAAAACTATGTGTATAGTTTATTTATATATATATATATGTATGTATCTGTCTTTCTGGGAAGAAGCTCCATCCCTTTTATTTGATTTCTAAAAGGGTTTGTACCGAAAACATATAGTCTCTCAAAGAGATGGTTAAAGTCCATATGGTTTTTCACTTGCTTAAAAGAAAATTTCATGCTCCATATCTGTGTGGAGCTATTAATAAGCAATGATACAGCAGAACCATGATCTTAAAAATTGAATCAGGATTTTGTTTCTCCCTGTGTTGATTGGTTTCATTTTATTTTGTTTTGAGAGGATTATTAGTATTTATCACTTCCAAAGATTAGAAGATGTAAAATAGACAAGCAATATTTTAAAAGGAACTCCTAAGGCACCATTCACTTCTAGTCACAAGGTTTCTGTTTATTTCACTGGAGTCCAAGAATGGCTTCACCCTGCAGCGATATCTTATTCATCCTCTGTCTACAAGCACAGTGGAGCTGTTTTCTAATTAAGCCATGTGGACGTTGACACCCTTGTGCTAAAAGATTTAAGAGAAAAGATAGCACCTCTCTGAATTACGTATTTTTATGTCTTGTGCTTTTTAGGCTTAGAGTTAAAAATTTAAAGGCATACTTTAAATTTTGTTGTAAATGTTG